TGCTGCATAGCAAATCTGGGAGCTCCCTTTTAGGCTGAAAGGGACTGAAAAAATTCATACCGAGAGATTCTTTTAATTCCTCTCTATATATTCTATTCTCTATGCTATTAACCCTATAAAGGCTGGGGGGTCTAAATCTATGTATAGCCTGGAAAAAGGCCTTAGAAAATAGTTATAGGGTTGAAATGCATGTTCATAGCCCAATTTTCAAGGCCAGTTCAAATAAAAAAAATTAGACCGATAACTTTAATAGTTTGGTTGTTATCCCTAACAACCAAACTATTAAAGTTATCGGTCTAATTTTTGAAAAAAATGCCTAAAAAAAGGGTTAAAAGAGGAAAAAAATTAGATTTTTTTTTAACAGACTGGACTATTTCAAATTTTATATTCTCATTTGGGATTTTCAAATACCACAGTTTGAAAATAAAAGTTTAAATTTTATTTTCTCATTTTGTATTTTCAAATCTCAATACCTACAATACCACAGTTTAAAAATAAAAGTTGAAATTTTGTATTCTCATTTTGGATTTTCAAATCTCACTACCGCCAAAACCATAGTTTAAAAATAAAAGTTTAATCTTTAAATTCTCATTTTGGAATTTCAAATCTCACTACCGCCAATACCACGGGTAAAAAATAAAAATTTAATTTAATTAGAATTATTTTTTTTTTGTAAAGAAGCAAAGATAAAATTGCGTTCAAAGCATATTAATTTTATATTACTTTTGTCATGAAACTCACTACCTCTGAGTACCTACGAACTTGACAGCGTATATTTCTCTTTTTTATAACTAAGGCATATTATACCTACTGGGGTGCCTTATCTATTTTGTCAAAAACGGCAGAATTCCAATATCTCTCATGTATTTTATATATACACATAGACAGCTTGAGACAGAAAACTTTGGAATAAGAAGACGTCTTATTGACTCAATTTATAGTGTAATTATCATGAGACACAGGAAATGCGCAGTGTAAACTGACCCATTTTACTTAGTACACTCCTGTATGTCGAGTCTATTAGCGCCTGATCCAATCAGGGTTCAGTCATGTGTTTGTTGTCTATTCTGAACCATTAGAAATAGTATGGCGGTAATATCTTTCTACCTATCTAATTATCCAATCAGAGTTATGAATTCTTTTATCGGCGCTATCAGTAAATGGAAATATTTACTTATACTGAAACTATGGTGAGTAAGTGATTTAATAACTTACCAGTAAAACTATATGCTTTGTAACAACATCAAATACATTGAAGAAATAAGAATACTTAAACGGCGTCTTCCAGTTCCACTGTTTTCTGGTTCTTACTGTATTATCCAACACATACCTGGTTTTGTTTTACAGTAATAAGAGCCAACCTAGAAAAATAATATTTAAACTTTTATGAATTTCATTGAATTTTTAAGAATTTTGTTGACCATATTATCTCTAAAGGGAGGAAGTCTCCACTCCGAGATGAATTTAAACTGCTCCAGGTATGAAACCATCCCTGTATCCTGGATCTCAACCATCTTATGGATCTCAGGCTCCTCAACCTGCAAAGTATTAAAAGGTATTTTCCCAAGTGGCAACTTCCCAAATGTAAAATTTCCCAAGCAGCAGCTAGCCTCTCAAGTCCGTCCTAGCCGCATCGCTCGCCCTCTTAGCCACAGCGTTTGGCCCCTTGGCCATCCTAGCCTCAGCGCTCGACCCCATTGCAGCCTGCAGCGCCTCAGAGGGCCTATCCTAACCTTTGGGAAGTTGACGCTTGGGAAATTGAACATTTGGGAAGTTGGCACTTGGAAAGTCGCCCTTGGGAAAATATCGTATAAAACACTGAGAAACATGTTCCCGTGCAATGTAGCCAGAGGCGGCTTATGGGGGGGAGATGGGACGGTCCCCCCCCTGGAAAAATCAGGAGCACAAGAAGAAAGACCGAGCACCTTCTAGTCCTTTAGTTTTGATTTTTAAGAAAAGATAAAAACATTTCCCTGCTGCGCAACCCCTTTACTCAAATTTCAGATTTTTATAAAAATTCAAATCTTGCTTTTACACACTTTCCACCTTCCACC